AAATATATATAATTATTTATATATTTTATATATTACATATAAATATATATATTTATATATAATTTATATATATTATTTTATATTATTTCTTTATTATTTACATTTTATTTAATATTATTTTATATTTATATTTAAAGCATTGTATTACATACAATGTCTATCTCCTGTACACACTGTATTATAAATAATATTTACATACTCTTATATGCTATATATTTTTATATACTGTATTATATAGTCTATATGTTATATACACTGCTCTATGCAATATTTATATGCTGCATAAATATTGTAAATATAAATATATACTATATAGACAATGTAAATAGAAATATATACTATCTATATTTATATACTGTATTATATATACTATATATATATTTTATACTATTTATATACTAATACAATTATATACCCATATATACATATATTTATATATATAGTTATATATTTAACTATATAACTATATATGTAATTAGATATAGATATAACTACATATAACTATATATAATTATACTATATATACATATGTACTATATAACATATAGCACTACATATATAAGATTTTATGCCACCTTTTGATGAATTCTCTGGTTCATTTCAATTTAATCTACTTTTATGTAATTAAATATGGATATAACTATATATAATTATACTATATATACATATGTACTATATAACATATATGACTACATAAATAAGATTTTATGCCACCTTTTGGTGAATTCTCTGGTTTATTTCAATTTAATGCACTTTTGAAATTCATTTTCTATAAACCCATGCTCTGTCCCAGCGAGTCAGAGAGCTCTGAAGGAAGCTTGCCCCGAGCCATCCCTCCAGCAGGCACCGAGCCGGGGGCAGCGCGCTCAAATGCCGAAATTCCCCTTCCAGAACGATTTCAGAGACTCAGAGCGAGCCCCCCGGGCTCGGCCTGGCAGAGATTCATCCCTCAGCTGTGGGGCAAAGGCCACAAGAAACAACTCAGAGCCAAAGGAAATATTCCCAAGTCAGCTCTGCAAAGATGGAAAAGCTTTTCCTCCAGCTGAGAGGCAGGAAGGGAGATCACAGCAGCCTCAAAACCCATGGATGTGTTTCCATTTTAGAGGCATTTTCTAAAAATAAATAAATAAACAGGGTGGAGCTGCTCAGTCGATAAAATACATTATTTTTTTCTCCTAATAACACCATCCCATGGTGCTTCCAAAGCTCTGCAGTGGGACATTCTGGAAGAGCTTTGCCATTAGGAAGATGTTTTAGAGATGCCAAAAGAGCAAGAAATTAGTGTCTAATTACTGAAAGGTGGCTGTGGCTTGTTCTCCAGATAATAAGTCTATTTATTTCCATGCAATATTCTAGTATTTCTTTCATTATATCTGAATTTAAATGAATTTTATTAATTTTAATTTCATTAAAATTATCAACTTAACCATTTCAGTAGCTCTTAAAACCTAACTGCCCTTCACGTGAAGCACAAACTCATCCGTGTGTGTGAACAGGGAGAATAAAGGAGAATTTCCCTTGATGTGGCTACAGAACTGCTTTTTCCTCCAGTAAAAATCTGGATTTTGTGCACATCCTGAGACATCTCCAGGCGCAGAACTGGCATTTCTATTTGTGAACTGAGCAAACAACGACAGCTACGAGATTTTCAACGAACACACAAAGGTAATTCAGTAATGAAAAGGATATGAATGTATCAAAATTTTAATAGCTATTCTTCTAAACAGATTAAAAGGACTTAAAATGTACAAGGCAGGTGTGGCACTAAATCGGAAGAGTGTTTTCCCTCTGTTTAGTACTACAAAGGTCTGCAGAGAAAAAAGAAAGAGAGAAAAGAGAGAGAGTTAATGCAGGAAAATCACAGCAGGAATTGTACAAAGCAGACAAAATTCCAGGGTAAAAACCCAGCATTTTCTGTTGGTTTTTTTTTTTTTTAAATAATCTCCTTTATGAAGCTCCCATTAGGGTACAAGACACCTGAACATCACGGGCATCACCCACCAGGACTCCAGGGGTAATTCTGCTCCAAAAAATCCATTTAATTTGAGACCTCAGCCAGGGCAGAAGCCAAATCTCCCAGCCAAGCCCCTCTTTCCTCTCCCACAGCCTTTATTCCTTTATTAACCCAGGTCCCAGAGGCTCAGGAGCACAGCCCCTGCCTCCTTCCTGCTGGAATGTGAAATGTAAAGAGCTCTCAGGATTTGAGCTTTGTAAGCTGAAATTTAAAATTAAACACAGGATTTGATCCGAGACCTCGGAAGAGGCCTTTAAACTTAAGTGTTAAAAATGAGAATGTGGATTTAAAGTAGGGACACGTTAAGCTTAGTAAAGGAAAGTTTGAAGTTTTAGAGTTTAGGATATAGAAAAAATTAGTTAGGATATAGAAAAATTAGTTTAGGATATAGAAAAAAGTAGTTACAGAGGTAAGAAGGAGTTTGAATACAGCACTATAGGTTTGTGTGTTATAACATGATGGGCTAACAAAATTTACACTGTAGTATGGGTCTACAAGATGAAATATTTAAGGATTGAGTCAAAAATATAAATATCTTTGCTAGCAGTGTTTAATTGGTTAATAACTCTTAAAAAGGTCTTGTAACTTTCTGAGTGATGCTGTAACAATGTGAGCTGAACTCACCCTTCTTACTTAGGTAGAAAATAAGAAAATAAACTGCCTCACTAAAAACAACTCAGAGGTCTTGTCTCAAACTTATTCAAAACCCCCACAAGTGAGTTACCACACTCCCCAAACAACGACAGCAAATCCCACTGTCACAAATCCCTGGAAAGACAGACTGACAGGCAAACAGGACCAAAATGTGAGGGCAGGGTCCCCCAGGCCAGTGGGCACAGGTCACCCCCAGCACAGCAACCTCACTGCTCTTCCCCACAGAGCTGGTGAGGATGTGAGGCTCATTCTTCATTAGGAACCTGTGGAATGAACTTCAGGCTCATTCTTCATTAGGAACCTGTGGAATGAATTTCAGGTTCATTCTTCATGAAGAACCTGTGGAATGAACTTCAGGTTCATTCTTCATGAAGAACCTGTGGAATGAACTTCAGGTTCATTCTTCATTAGGAACCTGTGGAATGAACTTCAGGTTCGTTTCTTCATGAAGAACCTGTGGAATGAACTTCAGGTTCATTCTTCATGAAGAACCTGTGCAATGATCCATGTGAGCGTGGAGCAGAATCCTGCTGGTCCATCTCCCTGCAGAGAGCAGCACCAGGAGCAGCAGGAGCAAACCGGGTCTGTGGGTGCTCCACAGCAGCACAGCCAGAGCACCCACCGTCCCAACCAGAGGGGAAAATGCAATTTGTGTGCACTGAGAAGCCAAAGCCCCTCCCCTGGCACCATTTATCCTGTTTTTATCCTCTCCAGGATGGCCCCAAAGCACAGCTGGACTCACTCCTGTCTCCTAAAGACTGGCTGAGCTCAGAGCCCAACCCCAGGGAATCCAGCAGGGCTCCCTGCCAGCACAGGCTTCCCCAGGAGACTCTTAGGAAATTTGTCATTTTCCTCGTCAATGAAACAACACGTTTGAGCTCGTTTGGTTAAATTAGACCATTGAGCAGTAAATTATTTGCAAAGGAAATCAAAATCAGATTGTGGTTCAGCACAGACAGAGGAAGGTTCGTTAGCAGAACCACTAATGCATCCCCACCAAAAGCACTTTAAAGACAGTCCTGGACAGCTCTTAAATTGCAGCATCAAGAATTAATGACCAATTCACCTTGGCATGGACAAACCTCCTAAAAGGCCCAAAGTTTTGCAAAATTGCCATTACAGAGTGCTCAGGGGACACTCAATTCTAGGAATCAGCTCTCCCCCACTCCCTGACACCACCAACTTTCCAGGACTCACATCCCCTTCCTTTTAAATCTCTTTAAAAAGGATCTCCCAAATCTCCCACACCTTTTGAGCAATGAACCCTCCAGCAGGACCGTGCTGGACATTACGTGGGACAAGGGGAGCTGGAAGAAGACAGGAACTTCCCAAACCCCACTCAGGAATTCTGAGAGGTGGCTCAGCCCCATTGTGTCTCCATTTTCCATGGGAAAAATCCCCAGGCAGGAGCCTGTGGCTCATTCAGCCAAAACCAGCAAGCCAGGAGTAAAGCCATCCCTCCCCTGGAGACACAGGGATGTGTGTGTGGCTTCCTGGAGGTGGAACAACCCAAAAGTGAGCTGGGGCAGGTGGATGGGAAGTGCCCCAGACGAGGGTGGGAGCCCTTGGTGCCGGCACACGGCAGGGATCACATGAACACCCACTTTCTCCAGGACTGACTCAGGAATTTGGCACTGCCTGCTGTAAAACCACAGAATCCCCAAATCCCCGTGGTTGAAAAAGTTCTCCAAGAGCATCGAGTGCAGCTTGTGGCCAAATCACCCAGCCCAGGGTGCTGAGTGCCACCTCCAGCCATTCCCTGGACATCTCCAGGGATGGGCACTCCAAACCCCCCTGGGCAGCCCCCTCCAAAGCCTGAGCACCCTTTCCATGAAGACATCTGAGTTTTCACCCCACTGCCAACCAAACATGAACTCCACGTCCTTCTTGCTTGGCTCCTCACCCGTTATGTGACTGCACCTAAGGCAGGTCTTTGTTTTCTCCCTGTGCTCTGCCCAGATTTCTCCTTTTGGGCCACAAAACCTGTTGAGTTGTTCCTGCTGTAAAGCCCATCATCCCTGTGCCTTTCAGCACAGCCCTCGCAGCAGTGAGCTGTCAGAATTCCAGTCTGCTCATGGATTATGACAGTTCTGAGATCCACCATTCCCCCGTGTACCCTCTAAAATCCTCAGTAAATCTCTACTTGGTCTTGTCAATAGAAAGGAAAGCCCAAAAGCCAAGAAATGTTTGGCAATTTAAACCCTCTTTTAGTTTTCCATTCTGCTGCTGACATATTAAAACTCCATTTCAAAATGGCTGCAAGCTCTTAAAACATTTTCTGGATCTGGGCCAAGAACATCCTTAAGAGCTTTTAAGATGTGCTGAAGCAAAGCTCAAAACTCAGAGGAAGGTGATACCTGGAAAAAGGTATTTTGCAGTCAGTTTAAGAGATGGTTTTGTCTGCTTGGACTTCCCAAAGCCTCCCTTTGTTAGAGCTGTGAAAAAACTCCATCCTCTTTAGTTTCCATCAAGTTCATCAGGACTCACCAAAACCTTCTCCATAAAAAGAAGGTTTCATAAAAATCAATCTGCAAAATGATGACTGTGCTTGGGAGAGCAACAGAACCAACTGGGGGATGGCAAGAATCATTCCAGCTCCATCAAGATTTAAAACATTCCTGCTTCCTGCAGGTTTGCCACTGAGCAGTTCTGCAATGGCTGAGGAGCGAGGGGGAGTGGGCAGATTTGAGAAGCAAACAGCTTCAGGAACAGCCTCAGAACATATGGGAGCACATTCCTGCAGGAGCAGGGGAGAGCGGTGACTTCCTGGTGACACCCTGAGCGAGCCACTGGGGCTGCTGGAAAAGGAATTTACAGCAAACTCAGGCACCCTGTGGGCTGAATTAATTACAGACACAACCAGCCCTGAGAGCAGCCCTGGGGAGAAGGGTTTGAGGTGCACAAGGAGCCCCCTGAGCCCCCAGCAGGGAGGGGGGATGACCCCACCTGCAGAGCTGCCCTGGGAGCATGTGGAGCTGCTGGAGAGAGTTCCTAATTTTTAAGTTTTATCGACCTCACAATCTGCCTGTGCAAGGAAATCCACTGTGCCTCTGGGCCAGAAATAATTCTCCACCTTTTCCCCCATCACGAGTGGGCTGCAGTTGTTTAGGAGATGGGAGCAGATCCCACACTTGGCATTCCCTGGATCCACAGCACCAACAGCCAGCAGCTCCATCACACCCTGCCTTCCCTCCAGCACCTGGGGAGGACTGCAGAACACGACTGCCAGGGAATCCAATCTCTTTTCTTCACTCTTTCCCTTCCCCACTCACTTTTCCTGCTCCTTTGAAGCCAACTGGAGAGACAGAGTGCAAGAAAAAAACACCACTAAGCACTCAAGGCCTGGGAAAAGCACTGAGGCGTTGGAAATAATAATAAAAACCTGATTTTTGGGATGCCTCTGACTCTTTCCTCTGTTTTGGTGACTTCACTGAAATGCAAAGCCAGGAACAGTGTCGTGACCTTGCAGAGTCACCACCTCTCCCTGCAGACACCACGGGCCAAGGCTCCTGAGGCACATCCCGGAGCCAGACGTGCCTCCCGCAGCTGGTCCCTCACATCCCTGTGATTTTCCTGGGCCAAGGTGACATTCTGGGCCCACAGGGCCCGTTTCCAAACCTGGCATGTGACTTGACAAAGCTGCAAGTCACTCCCTTGGCACGAAGGCTCCTGATCCTCAGGTGCTCCTGTGGCACCATAGGTGACCTGGGATGTCCCAGCCCAGCCCCAGAGCTCACGTGTGTGGGGACAGGCTTCCTTTTCCCTCTGAAATCCATCCACCCAAAGTTATCCTCAATTCACTGAATACCCAGGGACCTTCTGCTGCCTCAGCACTGCAGCCTTTGCAGAAGCAGGAGCACCTTCACTTCATCCTGCAGCAGGGATGAGATTCCAGGGGATTGGAAATGGAAGGTGCTTGAGGAGCAAGGCCCCGACTTGGCAGAGGGAAAATGGATCAGAAGGAAAGAGAGGTGTAGAAGATGGGGAAACATCCAAAATGGAAATCCTGGCTGTAGGAATGAAAGAGGAAGATGTCCCTGATGTCTTAATAAACACTGAAGGATTTAAGGCCGTGAGGCTGCTCTGCTCCCAAGGCTGGGGCTGCTCACACAGGGTTTTTCCTGAGTTTTCTTTGCATGTGGGAACAAAGAAGTTCATGTACCTGCCTTCTGGATATATTAATTGAAATGGTTTGGGTTTCCATAACAAAAATGGGTAACTATTGCTCCTAGCCTGTGCTTCAGGCCAGGAACTGGAAGGCCATTACAAGTTGTAAAACAAGAACTCATGAAAAAATTCTTTTTGGTCCTTACACAGAGACAGAAAGGAGCTAAAGCAGCTCCCAAACCTGCTGCCTGCAAGAAAAGGGATTCCAGACTCTCCTCAGAGCCATGATTTACCCCTCACTTCAAGACACTCAGGGGCTAGAATGTGTCCAGAGCTGGGAACAAGCTGAGCTTGATCCTGGAGGTCTTTTCCAACTTCATGGATTCTGGGATTCTGTGACTCTCATATTGCAAAATGAAACTGAGCAGAGGGAAGAGCAGCACCTTGGACAAACCCATGGCTGGACTTGTGACTCCCTGTGCCACGGTTCTGTTTCCAGGTCACACTGTTTCTCCTTTAAATATCAGTTTACAGGTGCTGGGAGGTTCAGCTGCTCTGTTAAAATGCAGTTTCAGTTTCCTTAGACAAACCAAGATCACTGTGTCCTCCTGCAGGGAAAAGCAACCAGCTGATTTGTCCCCGTGCACGCTGCAAAAGCAAAGACCTGTGATGCAAAGCCTTCTGGAGAGAGGGTGGGGGAGAAAAAAAAAATCTTGGAAAACTTCCCATGATTCAAGCAGATTCGTAATTCCTGATGATTCAGAGAAGGGCCTTTTTTTTAATGGCCTTAAAAAAAAATTCTTTGTGGAAAGTCACTGAGTATTGGAAGCAGCAAGGAGCAGCAAAGCAAGGCCATGCTGAGATGGACATGACAGGGAGCAGAGGATTCAGGGCTCGTGGGGAGAGCCAGACCCTGCTGGAGGTCAGCAGGGCTGGGGGGGTTTGCTCCCATCTCCAGAACCTTCCCTGCAGCTCAGCCCACCAAGGATTCCACACGGCGCTCCCGGAGATGTGACAGATGCCTTCAGAGAGGGGAACGCAGCTCATCTCTCCCTCTAAAAATGAAAGGTTTATTAATAGCCTCGTGTTGGGAGGCAAACGTGGAGAAGGATGCAGCAGGAGGGATAAGGGGGATCCCTGGGCCTCCTGTTTGGGGTGGAATGTTGAGAACCACGGAGCTCTGCCCCTGCTTCGGCCAGGAAAAAACAGGAATCAGCCCAGTTCTCCCACTGACACCACCCCTTCACCTCACAGGCACAGAGAGGCTGCAGAGCTCTGGCAGTGGGATCACAGACATTTCCTAACACTTCTGTGGTGGGAAAAGGGGTCAAGAGACCTTGGGAGTTCTCTTGTGAGGGTGGGGAGGCCCTGGCACGGGGTGCCCAGAGAAGCTGTGGGTGTCCCTGGATCCCTGGAAGTGTCCAAGGCCAGGCTGGACAGAGTTTGGAGCAGCCTGGGACAGTGGAAAGTGTCCCTGTCCCTGGCAGGGGTGGCACTGGATGGGCTTTAAGGTCCCTCCCAACCCAAATTCTGTAATTCCATGACCTGCTCTAACCAGAACCAGATTGGTTTAATAAAGAGGAAATATTTGTTTAATAAATGGAGTATTCCTGAGGATAACTAAGCTCCCACAGCAGCTCCTGGTGGTGCATCTCCTGGAGGAGCACATCAGCTGGGCACCACGATGCAAACACAGATCCCCAAATTTCACAGCCCTGTTCTGAGTCAGAACCTGCCCTCAGCACTCTGGACACAAGAATTAATTGACGCAACCAACCATTAAATTCATCAGTGTGAACACAGTAAAGAAGGGTCAGTTACTCCCATCACTCCCCAAATTCAGCTGATTTCACGTGAATGATGCCCTGCCAGCCCCAGAGTCACTTCTGAACGTCTGTCCCACAAAAACTCATCAAGTATTGGTCACTCATGAAATTAAACACTGAAAAACTTCAGTTTTGCTTCTAATGAAATCAGTGACCATGCTCCTCATCCCATCACCAGTGGATCCCTCCCCTTCATCCCCAGCAGTTTGCCAACCATCTCCTCATGACACCATTTCTTCAAACACCTCAGCACCCATAAATGCTTCCTGCCACATCACCTTAGACAAATAAAAATTAAGATGAAAGCAAGTTAATTAGTCTCCTTTTTTGCCATGATTCTGTGTCCCAGTGCTTCATAACCATCAACTTCAGACTGAATTCCATGCAAGTGATGAAATACACACTGAAACCCTCACTGTTACTCCTCAATTAAATTCTTCTTATTGCCCTGATGGTTAAAATTGGCACATTAGCACAAATTGAACTATTTTTAGTTTCCAGAGCTTCTCTTAACTCCATCCTTAAAGACTGAGGTGATAGAAGCGATCATTAAACCTCACAGAAAAATACACAAGAAAACAAAACAACCAAACGATCCCCATCCAAGACTCCCTCTTTTTTTATCTTCTGTTTAAACCATACCCAAACCTGTAATTTCCCAAGGCAAAAAAAAAGGCACTTTAGCAACTCCTTCCTTGCGGACTCACTTTCTGGGTCATATAATAAGGGTCAAAGTCCTCCAGTGGCACAGCAACCAGCCCTTTAGGGATGTCCCCGTAGATGAAAGGCAAATTCTTGCCCGCCTCAAGGTCACTGTTTGGTTTTGGTTTGCTGTCTTCATCGTCGTCCCGGTGGCTGCTGTCCTGCTTGGAGCGCTGCTTCTTCTTCAGCTCCGCGATGTGTTTCTCGATGTTGGCCAGCGACTCCGGAGTGAAGGGTTTAAAACTCTCGGGGCCTGGTGGTGCGAGCAGCCGCGCTGCCATCTTTTCATCCTGCAGCAGCTTCTTTAGAGATGTTGCACCCCGGGCAGGTCAGCTCTGCGGGGGGAAAAACACGGGCACGAGGTCAGAACAGCGCGGGCAGAGGCACGGGGAGCCCCGCTCTGCACATCCCCACGGTGATGCCTTGAGGGGCTCCTGGAGCTACACACAAAGAATAAAGTAGGGGTTTATTAAAAGGAAATCCTCAATGGACACACCTTGGGTAGCACAGGAGCCCAGCTGTGGCTCTTGTTGTCCACCCAAGATGGCTCACTGGCTCCTGGATCACTGTCCACCCAAGATGGACAATGGTCATGAGTTTTTCATACAATTAAATATTTTTGTTTATACTTTTCGGGTCCTGAGGCTGTAGGCGATGCCTTGAGGGGCTCCTGGAGCTACACAGAGTTAAAGAATAAAGTAGGGGTTTATTAAAAGGAAATCCTCAATGGACACACCTTGGGCAGCACAAGAGCCCGGCCGTGGCTCCTGTTGTCCACCCAAGATGGCTCACTGGCTCTTGGATCACTGTCCACCCAAGATGGACAATGGTCACGAGTTTTTCATACAATTAAATATTTTTATTTATACTTTTCGGGCCCTGAGGCTGTAGGTGATGCCTTGAGGGGCTCCTGGAACAGAGCTACACAGAGTTAAAGAATAAAGTAGGGGTTTATTAAAAAGATATCCTCAATGGACACACCTTGGGCAGCACAAGAGCCCGGCCGTGGCTCCACCCAAGATGGACACCCAGTCATCAGTTTTCACACTTTTATAAGTTTTGGTCCATGTCTATATTGGGTTAATTGTCCAATTCCAGCTCCAGGTTATGAAGTCCCATCCTCCCAGATTGCTCTCCTCCATTTTCTGCTGTTTGCACTTTTTGGGCTTGAAGCTGCAGCACTGCCCTTGGTTCTGGGGCTGGAAAAGGATTGTTTTGTGTGACTGAACTGTGAGAACTTGCTAAAACACTTTATATGAAGTTCAGAGCTATATACCAATGCAGTACAGAACCTGGGAAATAGGAAAACTAAAACTGAAGGCATCAGGGTGATGCAGAGGAGCAGAGCTGCTGGTTTCATCCCCAAAACGAGCTCCAGGCACGTGCACACCAAGGCTGGGCACAGCTGAACCCACCTGTCACTGCCCAAGGTGTCACTTCACTGAGTTCTACAAGCAAGAAGCAGCTTGTAGGATCTCCCCCAGCCCCACTGGTGGCCACCCCAACTTGGGCCCTCCTGAACACAACCTACTCTAGAAAAAACATTCTGAAAAGCAACTTCATTCTCAAAACCACTATTTTCCTGCAAAAACAGTTTGACCAGTCACTGCTCTCAGCAAAACCGATTTTTAGACAAAATTCCAAGGCAGATCAAGTTGGACCAGGTGTTGGGCCTGGTCCAGGGTACCAGCACATTCCTCACTCTGCTAACAAGGTGTTTAGCAAAGCAGTCCCTGGTACACACAGGAGGAACAACAACTGTTTACAACAGCACCAGCACCAATGTGAGCACTCCCAAAAAATGCACCTTGGCGCCCTATCAGGTGTTTCTGCAGCTATGAGAAGTTCCCTAATGACTTCACCAAGTCCAAGGAGAATTCTGAATGCTCTTTAGGTAGGGCCAAGCCCTCACCAGGCTTCCCTGCCTCACCTGCTCCTGAGCACACCACAGCTCTGCACTGGGAAGTCAAATCTCACCCTTTCATTTTACAGAATTTTATAAAGAAACACCTCCCTGGGAGGGTGCTGAGGTACAGGTTATCCAGAGAAGCTGGGGCTGCCCCTGGATCCCTGGAGGTGTCCAAGGCCGGGCTGGAGAGGGCTTGGAGCAACCTGGGCTAGTGGCAGGGGTGGGACTGGATGGGCTTTAAGGTCCCTCCCAACCCAAACCATTCCATAATTCTATAAATTATGAGGGTTTCTATTAAACTGAGGCCATAAAAATGAAATCATTTAAAAATACTTCCATCAAGCACAAATGTAATTCCTGAAAGTTCAAGTTCTCTGATTATTTGGGTTGGACACGGGGTCCTGTTGGCATCAGATACACCACAATCAACAAAAGCAAAGGGAGGGCTGCAGGGCACAGGTGAGGACAAGCTCCCAGAGCCTCCAGCCTGCCTTGGCAGGGTTTGCCCCATCCCTCCACGGAGCCCCTTGCTCTCCTCCACCCACTGCCACGAGCAGCAGAGCTTGAGGAAGTTGGTTCCCCCGAATGCAGCCGCCCACCAGAGCTCTGCAGCTCTGCTCCTCCTGCCAGGCCCAGAACCAGCAGCAGGAATACCAGGAATACCTTGCATTTCTGAGCTGCTGCTACCTAGTCAGGCTGTTCTCACTCCAGAAGAGGCCAAGGGAGGAGAGGAATGACAGAAACCCTGCACTGATGCAACAGCACTGCAGTGCTGCAGGCTGGAAGAGAACCCAGCCCCGACACGGTGCTTGGGGAGGGACACAGACACCAAATCCAAGAGGAAAGGCACAAAAACCGTGAGGATATGGCACAAAACCACGAGGATATGGCACAAAACCCACGAGGATATGGCACAAAAACCACGAGGATATGGCACAAAACCCATGAGGATATGGCACAAAAACCTGTGAGGATATGGCACAAAAACCACGAGGATATGGCACAAAACAAACCCCAGAGCTGCCTGGAATAAGGTCCCTCAAGCAAGGAAGAAGATAACCAGTAAGGTCACATCTTTTAAGGCAACACAAACACAGCATCCAAATAAATATTAAAGATCTGGAGGAAAGAATGACTTTCAGATTCCTTGGAAACCATGACATGGGGTTGAATTGTTGAAATTCAGCTATTTCAGCCTGCCCAGGCCATGAGGATTGTGCTGAATTCACGTGGGAGGAGTTCAGGGAAGCCAACACAGAGAACCACAACTCTCTGGAGCGCAGTGGCCTTCAGGAATAAATAAAACCCAAGAAATAACTGAGTCCTTGGTAAGAATACCTGGAGATCCCAGCCCTCAGCAGAGAAATTTCAAAGCTGGAACACTCAGTGCAAATCATTCCTGAGAGATCTCAGGTTATCCCTTGCAACTGCTGTGACACAACCTTTTACACCCTGATCCACACATCAGTCTGAAGCTGCACCGCACACGTAGGGCTCAAATGCTGTTTCCAGCTCAGGTTTTATTTGGAGATCCAAAAAAACCTGGAGTACAGATCTCCCTCCTTATGTAATTCCAGAGTGCAGCGGGGGTCAGGATTCTCTTCCTATAAACCTGACTATTTCTAGAGCAATAACAGTGAAGACTCAAAAAAGGTGGCAAGAAGGGGAGAGAAGAGCCAGTATGTTGGTCACATTATCTCTGAGACATCACCAAATGGCCTGCTGATATTAAGGAAAATTAATTTATTCTATTCTTGCAGCATTTGCATGCATTTAATTACCAAATTTCCCACATACTGTGAAACTATAGAGCAGCATTGGGGATGTGGTCTAATTGAATGGCACAGATAAATATGTAAGGCCTGAATTTAGAAACCAAAGTAGCTCAGGGACACAGCATAAAAAAGGGAAAAAATGAAGGCACGAAGGAATTTGTGCAAAATTACACAACCCACAACTGGAGACACCAACTCAGCTGACTGCCCATTTAAAGGAAAAAACACAACCAAACCCAACAAACCAACACCATTCCCCAAATCTGGTTCACAGCTGCACATGGCAGCAGCTTCTCCACGTTTTGGCAGTTTGGAATTACTTACATGGCTGTTTCTTGTGTGCTACCAACACATAACAGTGACCTGAGGCTCTCTCTCCTTGGGATGGTCTTGCCTGTCCTGACTTCATTTGTTTTCCCAATAAATTATCCCACATTAAGGTAAGGGACAAAGTAAGATGTGTGGCTCCACCTCATCTTCATCAAGGAGGAACTTCCACAGCTGCTCTGCCTGGCAAAGCTTGTGGAAGGTAAAAACCTTGTAAATGTGATTTCCCAACCAGGAATTGGGATTGATGGATATATCCCAGGATTTATTTTGGCCCTTCCCACATCAGGTTTTTTAACCTGTAACAAGAGAAACGTTCTGAAAATTGTGACCCAGGAATTTATCCTGGGAGCTTGGATTTGGGTGCACACAACACACACATTGCTCAAAAGCCTAAGATTTTCCACCAGAAACTACTGCACTGAGGTGGCCAGTTGCTAAGACTTAATTATTTTTTCTAAATGTTCCCAGCAGTCCATTTACTGGTACATTATGAAATATTCCAATAAATTATTCAAGCTGATCATCAAAATAAATTAAAAAACACTTTTGAGGCAATTTCCTTGCCTTAATACACTTCTTCCTTTATTAATTACCATTCACAGTGTGTCTTTGAGGCTGAGAGACCTTCTGTGTGAATTTTTATGTAACCCACACGGACACATGTGCCTCTTGATTCCAGCGTGAGGATTGAGGCAGGAAGGAAAACATGGTGTAGATGAACAGCAGCCTGAAATCCTGCTGCAGGAGAGCCTAAAAAGCTCCAAGCAAACCCAAAATATCCACCCATGGGGAAAGTGGCCTTCAGCCTCCAATCCTTCAGTGAGTCCTGGGTCTGGAACAGGCCAATTTAACCTGTGGAAAGGGTCAGTGCTGTGACCAGCAGCAGTGAAGGAGGGACCTTCCCTTTAGGAAAGCTCTCATGGCATGTTTGATGCCACGAAGTGGAAGAGAAAGGAAATATTTCCACTCCCAAGAAGCATTTGTTGCTTGGTGTTTCCCCACCCTCTGTAAAACCTTGTGGAAGTTCCCAGTGCTTGGCTCAACAAGGGAGGTCAGGGGCAGATTGGGACAGGGCAGGGAAATGCTCATGGTCTTGAAACGGCCATGGAAGGCCTGAACTTGGACACACACACACCTCTAAAGGCAAAATAAATGAACAGAAATGTACAGAGGAAAGAGGAGAAGCAACCAACAGCAACAGAAAAATATCAGAACCATCGAATGGTTGAATGGTTTGGGTTTGAAGGGACCTTAAAGCTCATTCTGCTCCACCTCCTGCCATGGGCAGGGGCACCTTCTACCACCCCAGGTTGCTCCAAGC